CACTCTGAAAAAGGAGATTGAAGATGGTATCAGAAAATGGAAAGTCATCCCTTGCTCCTGGGTAGGAAGAATCAACATAGTGAAAATGGCCATACTTCCAAAACTGCTATATAGATTCAATGCAATCCCAATTGAAATTCCAGCAACATACTTCTTGGACCTAGAGAAAACAATCCAAAAATTCATCTGGAACAGAAGAGACCTAGAATAGCAAGAGAAATTCTAGGCAACAGAGATATGGCAGGGGGTATCACAATCCCCAACTTGAAAATATACTACAAATTTACTGTGATAAAAACAGCATCATACTGGCAATAAAACAGACCTAAGGACCAGTAGAATAGATCAGAAGATGCAGAAACAACTCCCGACACACTTGGCCACCTCATCTTCAACAAATGAGCCAAACACCCTCACTGGAGGAAAGATAGCCTCTTTAATAAATGGTGCTGGAAAAATTGGGTTTCAACTTGCCAAAGATTAAAACTAGACCTATATCTCTCACCATGCACTAAACTAAAATCAAAATGGATTAAAGATCTAAATATTAAAACAGAAATGCTGAACCAACTGGAACAGAGGTTAGGTAGAACCCTTGAAGACATTGGTTCAGGAAAAGATTTTATGAACAAAACCTCAGTTGCCCATGAACTAGCACAAGCAATCAACAAGTGGAATCTCTTCTTATTAAAAAGCTTCTGCACAGCAAGAGAAACCTTCAACAGTGCAAAGAAACAACCCACAATGCAGGAAAAATTTTACACCTGCTCTTCCGCAGACAAAGGTCTACTATCTAGAATATACAAAGAACTCAAAAAAATCAGATCACCCAAATTTAAAGACCCAATCCAAAAATGGGCATCTGAAATGAACAGACATTTCTCACACAAAGAAGTAGAAATAGCAAATAAATACATCAAAAAATGTTCGACATCACCGACACTCGAGAGATGCAAATGAAAACAATGCTGAGATTCCACCTCACTCCAGAAAGAATGGCTGCTATCATGAAATCAACCAATAACAAATGCTGGCGGGGCTGTGGGGAAAGAGGAACCCTGCTCCACTGCTGGTGAGAGTGTAGACTGGTGCAACCACTGCAGAAATCAGTATGGAGATACCTTAAAGAACTAGGACTGGAAGTCCCATTTGGCCCAGCTATTCCCCTGCTGGGTATGTTCTCCAAAGAATTAAAGGATCATACCACAGTGATATACAGGCACCCACGTTCATAGTGGCACAATTTGTAATAGCTAAAACTTGGAAGCAGCCCAATTGCCCATCAACTGGAGACTGCATAAAGAAAATGTGAGGTTTTTTTTTATAAAGTGGAGTGCTACGCAACCCTAAAAAATGAGAAATTAGAGATATTCATAGCTAAATGGCTGCACATTGAGGCGATACTCTTAAGTGAAATGCAATAGAACACACAGGCATAAATACCAAGTAGTTTCTCTAGTATGAGAAACTGAAAGTATAAATAAGGACTAAAAGGTATAATAGATAATGTGAAATAGGAAGAAAAGGGGCAAAGGGGAAGGGAAAGTCGGAAGGGTACAGGAAAGGAAAGAAGGGAATGGAATTAATATGAGAAAATGAAACAATGAAAACAAAGTCTTTGTAAATAGGGAGGGATGGAGGGGTTGAAGGGAGGGCAGGGGGATGGGAAAAAATAAGAACCAAGAGAGATTATGTAAAGATGCAAATTTCTAATAATGAATGTCATTATATTGAAAAACTAAAATGTACCAATAAAATTAATTTTTAAAAAATAATTCAGTTCAAGCTTCATAGGACACTACAAAAATTTTACATTCATACTTTCAGTTATTCAGCAAACACACTTTAGAAGGCCACAGAAAATGACAGAACAAGAGAAACTCTACATGCAAAACCTACAACATAAAGCAGAATTTTCTTCTAAGTCTCTAATCAGCTCACCCATTCCTCACATACATGAATAGTAAAATGTCCTATTAAACAGTGGGTCATCCATCAGTGTGTGTAGCACCCAGCAGGATTTCAGTGCAAAACTTAACTCTGCCAAGAAATTACCCCCATAAAATTGTCTCATGACTAACTCCTATGGTGATAATACCTAGATTGGTAATAAGGGAATTTTCAACAGCTGCATTAAGCCTTGAAATGTTAGTCATAGCTGAAAAACATAAGAATTATATTAATGTAACAAACCATTTTCCATGACAGACAAGCAAGTAATGAATTAGGAAAGCAAATCTGGGCTCAAGGCAGTTGCACAGAAGTAGAAAAAGAAAGAGGACTCATTCCATAAAGCAGTCTTCCTATGCCTATAAATCAAAGAAGACCATGTCACCTTAAACACATACACAAAAGTAAGTGCCTGTTTTCAGAAAAATGTATCCTGACTTCATAGAAAGTGTAGCTTGTAATTATGTCATATCAATGACATTTATTTGATCAGAGAAATTCCTTAGCTAGTTAGTTCTTATCCTACTTGTTTTTTTGTTTTATTTTGTTTGGGGTTTTGGTTTTTTGAGACAGAATCTCTCTATGTAGTTCAGGCTGGTCTCGAACTTGCAGTGGTCTTCCTGACTCAGCCTCCCAAGTGCTAGGATTACAGGTATGTGGCACAACACTCAGCTAGTTCACATCCTACTTTGATGGAAGCAAATCTCATCAGTTACTTTCTGTTGTATTCCCAAGCCCTCCTCTCCATCACCAGTCATATATACTCTTGCTTGTCATCTGTGGTCATCAGTTTCATGTGTCATAGCTATAGGGCTACAGGAGCCAACTATTCTATCAAACGCTAATCTAAGTGCTGCTGTGAGGGTATTTTGTAAGTATGATTAAAGCTCATAATCAGTTGACTTTAAGGAAGGAGATCATCCTAAACAGTCACTTGAAAGACTGTGAGAGAACTGAGCCTTCCTTCAAGAAAAAGTCCTAAGAACTGCAGCTTTAGCTCACATTTCCTGACAGCCTGCCATATATCCTCAGAGCTCTGTATTTCTCTTGCCTAGCCACCCTCCACAATCCCATAAACCAATTCTTTGCAATAAATCTCTTGAAGTACAGATGAACACACACACACACACACAAACAAACACACACACACACACCTTTTATACGACTGTTGGTAGACATATGCATGTGTTTTACTGGTTCTATTATTTTTTGGTTGAACCATTTTTGATAGATAGTTCCAAACAAAACTGAGTGTAGGTTCTGATAATCAAGATGTTTTTATGTTACCAGGAAGACAAAGTTGAGCGTTTGTTAAACATTCTAAAAATGAACCATTCTTAATTTGCAAAATAGAGTTACTGGAAAAAAATCCAGGGAGTGAACCATTATTCTGCAGCCCACTTTTCATGGCTAAAATCCTCATGCTCAGCCTCTGATTCAGATCACTTGCACCAAATGGCTGTGATGTTATCAGGAATACATGGACAAGCAATGTGCAGTAACACTAAATCAAATACACAGGACAAAAGAGCATTCCTGTAGAATATGATACTAATAATCTCCCCACTGAATCTAGCGTGATCTCACAAGATCAAACATAAGAAAATCTGCCTGCAGATCCTTTGTGGTTCAGATTTTACCCAGATTTGGACCTTTAATTTTACTATCCAACATTTTCAATTGCATTTTTAAAGTGGAAGAACTGTCTACAATTAAATTTGATCTTAGGAAATAGCTTTATGGTAGAATGAAATAGCTCAATATACAGACAGCCTCCCCTCCAAAACAAAAATCTCTCTGGGATGTATTCTTACTCTTTTCATTATTCTTTATCACTGAAATAAATCCACAAATGGAAAGATGAATAAAAATAACTGACAGAAAATAATCAGGCACTAAAAATTGCATTAAAATTTTGAGGGTATTTGATGACCTAAAATTTGGCACGTAGCTATTCCTTGAAAATTCTGCTGATTTTCTCTCAAATTTTAAAAGTATTCATTTGATAGGGTGGACTTTTTCTTCTCTCCAGTACAGAAAATTTTATCTTTCCTATGACTATCTGGCAAAAATTCAGAATTACACGTTGTAACAAGAAATAAGTTGTTGCTAATTCCAGAAAGGACATAGATTAGGGGGTTGTCCCAATCCCTGGAACATTGGCCACTTGTGTAAATCAGAATCCAGCCCCTTGGACTGCTGGGAAATGGAGCCATTAGCTTTAGCATTAAACACATGATTCCCAGGGAATCAACTGCTATTAACTTTCATTAGCTAACATTTGCCCTTTCAGTGGAGAGAGAGGTGTGCTCTGTATAACACCAGAGAAAGAGAAAGACCAAGAGAGGGAGTGGGGCCCCAGAACAATCGTAGCAAGTGCCTAGGTTACATCATGCCAATACTTACTGGCTTATCTTTCCCTAGAGAGATAACAGCAAAATATGTTATGTTGGTTGATGCCAGTAAGTCAAACTAAAGGGTGGTTAGCAAGTAGCTCTACCAAAAACCAAGGTTCTGTTAATTCTTTTTTTTCCAGTTTGGCCTTTTTTGCCCACCCTCTCCTCACCACTGAATCCACATTTCTTCTCTTTCCATCTTCTTTCAGTTTCTTTGCTCACCTTCTTTTCTACCTAGTGTTGAAAATAAGGAAGATGAATATTGTCTCCCCATTGATTTGACTGACATCATGCCCCAAAAGGAAAGAAGGAAAAGACTGGAGGAGGCAGATCATTGAGACCAAGACACAACAGTGACTATGTAACAACTGCTCTAGCATTTACTAAATACACTTCTCAGACCCTTCCCTGTTCTTGAGCCTGTAATTACTGAGGGCTCTAGGCATAAAGCTGTCAGAGAATTGCCTGACCTTTACTTAGGAAAGAACTCAGAAATTCTGTACTGTTCTTATAGCCTCTTTCTGGTTTACTTCGCCTTGTTTTCTTTTTCCTTTCTGAACTTAGATGTACAGTATAGCATTTAAAGACTCAAAAACATGCCCACTATTGACCATCCCAGATCTAGATAAAGGAACAATGTGATGGAAAGGATACCTTCACAGGCAGACACCTCCGTGCTGTCTTCCTCGTGGGGAGAGAGTAGGCGCCTGCATTTTGGTTTCTGCTCCAATCCAGTGGGCCTTCCTTTTTCAGAGGCTCCAGCATGGAAACTCTGGGATCGGGACACAGAAATCTCAAACTGTTTGATGACATCCTCATCACTGCCAGAAGACGTGGAAAGTTCTTCACCATCCCCAAAGCTGTTAACTGGGAACAAACAAGATCCATGAGTCCCCTGTGTGGCGTCTACAATCCAGCGCAGAGCCAGACCATTCCAGAAACCTAGAGATCCTGGAAATTTACTCTGAGTTCAGCAGGTTCCAGCTGCAAAGAAAAGACAAGGCATTTTTGAAATAGACACTGGAGTCTAAAACAAGAAGAAGAAATCCCATGAAGGGAATTAAAAACAGACAGCTAGGACAGAACCCGGAAAAAAGAACAGCGACACCATAATCAATACCACGAGCCATGGTGGGCAGCCAGGCAGCACTGCTCTTTTGTTATGTTGCCTGTAAGGGTCCAGAATTGAGAACAGGATGTTTACCAGGATATTTTCCTTATCTGCAATTCTGTGGGAAATATTATTTCACCTCATTTATTAAAACACACAGAGCCAAGCCCCACTTCAGAGGAGAGAAATGTGGCGTGATTGGAAAATAGAGTGAATGTTTACATTTTTAAAAATTTACTACAGTAAAAGACATAGTGACATGAATCCCCTTCAAAATACTCCTCCTCTCTTTGAACACACTTATCACATTAGTCTTGATACTTTCTGAAACAGTTCTGCAAGTCCTCTTTCATGTCTAGTTATACTGTTCTGGCTGCCCCTGAGCCTTTGATAGGTTCAAAATGTGTACTATTCATGGTCATTTTGACTTTGGAGAAGAACCAGAAGCTGCATCGTGCCAGACCTTCTGAGTAAGATGGACAAGGACACACCACCATGTTTCTATGAGCCTGCCTTTCTATTAGATACCACCTGACAGTAGCATTCACCGTATTTTGATCACATCTTGTAAAGACACTCATTAAAGAGCACTTCCAGATTGGCATCAGAAAGTGGTGAGAATGATGGCATAAGTGCACTGGAAGTGAGGGGGAGTCTTACGCGAGATTCATGGCAATGTGTCCCTTTCTGTAATAATTTTTAAAAATTAAACATTTACTATATATTGCAATTAGAACTTGTATTTGCAACTAAGGTTTTCCAGATCTTCCTAGTTTTAAGGAGACTCATTGTGTTTGTGTGTTTTAACTCATTTATACTACAACTGTTTTAAATCTCACCATAAGCAACTCAACCCAAGCTCTTTGAATTGTTTTTTTAAATAAATGTTACTGGTTATATGTGCAGCTTATAACATAATACTATAGAACACATATAGACATTAAAATGTTACAATTAAAGAAAATTAATATATTTATTATAGCACATAGTTTTATATGTGTGTGTGAGAAAAAGAGCTAAACTTTGTATATTTAACAAAAATCGCTAATACTATACAACTTTGTGGACTAGACTCCTTGTATTGTACGTGAAATTTCTGGACTTGTTTACTATGTATATCTGCTACTTTGAACACTTTGATTTACATCTCTCTGTCCCTTGTGTCACTCCCTTGGAAATCACTGTTTTATTCAGTTCTTGTACAACTGACTTTTTAAAGGATTCTATATGAAAGTGAAATTATACAAGTTTTTCTTACTGTGCCTGGCTTATTTCACTTAGTACTATGTCTGAGCTTAGAGGAGGGACTGCTAGATTAGGTGGTAGTTCTATTTTTAATTTCATTAGCAATCTCCATACTGTTCTCCCCAGTGGCTGTACCAATTTACATTCTCACTCATTGTGCTTTGGGGTTCCCTTTTCTTGTTATCATCCATCTTTTTATCTCAGCCAATGAGATAAAACAGAACTAATCTTTATTCCTTTGTTCTTTCCTATAACTTTCATGAAAATAAAAAAATCACCTGTTTTGTTAACTGATAGCTTCCCATTATGTAAAACAATGCTTCTCGCATAGTAAGTTCTTAATAAATGCTCATTAAATGTTGAATAAATTGATGAATATCCCATTCTGCCCAGAGCCTGACCACCTGAAAACACAGTCATGCTGGATACTCTTCTCCATTCAGCCTCCCATCTTGACTGGTCAAGATGGACTTGTCATTGAGGCTCAGCCTAGACATTACTTCTTCTGGAACATCCTTCCTTGACCCCTTAAATCATGTTAACTGCTCTTTCCAAGTGCCACAAAACAGTGTTCTGTTCTCCCTTGTCACTGCTGCTGTCACACTGAGGGGACATTACCCGTCTAGCTGCTGACTGTCCCTGCAGTCCGCATACATCAAACTGCCCACTGGAACAGCCAGGCCTCATCGTGTGCCAGACATGTAGATTAACCTGTGTTTGTTGACTGTGAATTGGAAACTATAAAGAAGGAACAATTTTTTAACCAGTCTTCTTTCCATAGAAAAGTCACATAGTGATTCCAGAGAAAGATATGGTTATTAATTTGCAGACGGGTCCTGAAGATGACTTCTGAATCAGAAGCAAAGAAGAAATAAAAATCCACATTTTTCAGAGAGAAAATGTTCCTAAATACCAGCCTGGTCAAAATGATTATCCTCTGGTTTGGTATAGAGTTGGTATTACGAGGTTCTCTGGAAGACTAGTAATAATAAATACTTTGTGGGTGCTTTTTATGCTCCACGATGTATTCTAAGTGCCTTACACAATTTAATTCACACAAAACTCCTATCATCATATTAATTTTCCATATAAGAAAACTGAAGCAGGGAGAAGTCCACCAATAGCTGAAGGTCACTCTACCAACAAGGAGCAAAAACCTAGATTGGAGCTAAAACAGCCTAACTTCAGGGTCCACTGAGCTCAAGAACCAGAGACAGATCATAGAAAGGACTCACTCTGTATACTCCACGAGCTGCTGTGGCTGATTTCCCTAACCTCTTTGGCACTTTTTTTTCTCATTTTTAGATCATTTCTAAGGTCTGAATCATTTCCCCGGTCTTTTCTAGCACCAAAATTATCTCACTCCAAAGTTCCTGCCTGATAGGACTCAACATTCAATTTGTTTCTCAATGATCTTCCCAGTGAAGCATCTGGTACGCAGACATGAGAGCACATCTTTTTCATCTCATTCAATTTTATTGGCTGTGCCCAGCAGCCCATAGGATCTGAAAAGTTAAGCATCAGAAGAAACTAGATTGCTCACTAATACTGGAACAAGCCATATATATATCCTCCTATCAGAAAACCACTGCAATAAATGTGCCCCCTTGTACTGGGCATAGTGCTGTGGTATGGGATAGACCATCACATATGGAAAAGATACCAAAAACATCAGGAATGAAATTAAATTCTCTCTACCATTAAAGTATATGGCCACCTGAGCACCTGGGAGGTTGTCAGAGGGATATATGCATGGAGGGCTGGTTGGGTTGGATATCCATTGAAGTTCTTTCCAACTCTTGAGATTCCATTCCATTTGCATTATTAGGCAAGTTTTTAAAATATCATCAGTTATCCATTTCAAATTGGTGAGCAAATGCGTGGATATTTTGCCATCTATATAATAATTAGAATTAGAATTTATTTATTACAATGTGGTCCTTGATTTCTTCCAGAGTCACATAGCAAAGATTCTCTTTACCTGCAGTACTCATCATACAGTAATTATAACATTTCTAATATTCTCAACATATATGCCAGGTATCTCCTTGCAACTTCACATATGGGATCCCATTTAATCAGCATAGCCACCTCATAAAATAGGAACTATTATTCTCCCTGTAGAGTTAGGAAACAGAGGCACGGAATGGTTAAATACCTTGCTATAAGGAAACATAGCTAAGAAATTAACAAAGCTGGGGCTTGAACATAGAACCTCTATTCTTAACCACTGTGCATATCATCAGATACTAGGGCATCAGGAAAGTGAACCAGATCTAGCTTCCTCTGCGGAGTGAAGGGAGAGGGAGCATTGCCACTTACCCTACCATCTGCCAGGGGCCTCTTGCTTTGTAATGAATGAAAAAAGAGAAGACTCTAGGAAGAGCAGTCGTCCATGTGGGTGTGATGCATATAGGCAGGCAACAGGAAAACTAGCCAATTGCTCCTCATGGAATTATTAATACAATTGCTCATGCTATTCTAACCCTCACTCCTCAAGGACATCAGAGAATTCTCAGTCTTAAAAGCAAATCTGAAATCTCTCTCAAATGCTGCTGAGCAGCAACAGTGGCATTATTACAATAATAAAAGCAATCCCTTAATATTTATCATCTGCTACACATTGTTTTAAAACTTGACATGCTCACTTATTTAATCCACCCAATGACCCAATGAAATAAATACTATTAATATCCCCATTCTATGAATGAGAAAGCTAAGGCACAGTGAGGCCAATAATTTGCCACAGTCATCAGAGTTTCTAAGCAGTGGATATAGGCTGTCTTGCTCCACAGTCAATACTTCCTCAAGAAAAAAATCTTCCGAAATCCTGAAGAAAACCAATACCAGCCACTAAGAGAAACAAATCACATAGACTGTGCTGGAAAGGATTTTCATGAGCATCTATTCCCCAGTGGAGAAACCAAAGCCCAAAGAAGCAGTGATTTATTCACAGTCATACCAAGTTGGGACCCTTTCTAGGTCTCCAGGGTTCTAAGTCAATGATTTGCAATGTAATTTTCCAGTATTTCTCCCTAATGGTTCTATTTTATTATTTTTGTTTTTTCTGAATTCAATTTTTGGCTCTTATCTGTTTGAAAGATCCAAGTTACTTGCCTTGTAATGCAACTGTGTCAACAACTAAATAGCTGATCTAGGTTTCATTTAATTTCATCTTTGAAAAATAAAAACACCCATCTATATTGTGGCATTTATTTCAGAGATAAAGACAGTATTTTCTGAAGAACTACATAAATTTCAAGTTAAAATTCCTTTTCAAACTGAATACCTAAGAAATAGTACAGTGGCAGTTTTTATTAAAATTCTTACTCCTTTAGCAATTAGCTTGCTAATATGACAGGGAAATACCTGCACAATTACCATGGATGTAGGTCAGTTTTTGAAGTTGAAAGATTGTTCATCTTATTTGATCACAGAATTCAGACAGATCTTAGGTATCCCTTAAGAATCTACCACCAAAAAGAAGTCCGAATCTTGTGAACTCTCTGAT